TATATATATATATATATATATATATATATATATATATATATATATATGGCCCACAAAGCGTCCAATGGTCTAAATGCTGTGCTTCAAAAGAAATGTTCTATCGTGCGCAGAACAAACAAAAGCGTTATTCGTGTTCAAGAAGGAGGGTGTAAATGATCAAAATTTAGCACTTCAAACGAAGTAAAACGAGACAGGGGATTGGTTTGCACTCTCTTTTTTTAAATTATTATCTTAATTTGAACTGACCATCCTTCAGACTTCACCTTCACAAACACAAACTTCAGTTCTTCCAGCCAACCATACACCTGGGAAGCAGTTGTGGCGATCCCAGCCTGAGAGATGACTCATACCCTGGAGTGACACACTACAGTTTTGGGACCAATGTGATCATTCAAACTTCACGGGTGACGTCAGAAAAACGCATGCGTGCCACAGCTTCTGAATTTCATACTATAGGTCGATTGTACCAACCAATCAGAAACCGCGCAGCACAAACAGAAGCTAAACAACGGCAGAAATACTAGCGCGCGATTGGCAGAGGTCTGGATGACCAAAGAGCTTGTTTTGTACATATTATATAATCCCCTTTATTTTGCTCAATGAACGAACTACTAGTCCTGTGGCCTTTTCTCTTTGACTCGAATACGTGGGATATTGCGTGCAAGTACCAGTGTGATCCAGTGCTTACGTGACGTCCGTGACTGCTAATCAGTGATTCTTATTCGTGTTCAGTGCGTACTACTCATACCACAACTACTACGGCACTAAACTTAAGTTTCGCTCTTATTAGAGCTCATCAGTAGTGCATATCCACCGTCCCTTCGTGAAATATGAAGTTATTATTATTATTATTATGAAGATTATTGTACCGCGATTTGTTTGGCATACAGCCTAGATAAGTTTTACCATTTGGGAGGCATCACGGATGAAGTATCAGCTCGCATACAGAAGTCCAGATTGGCATTTGTCACCTGGAGACATCTGTGGATCTGTCACAACATCCGACTGTCCATGAAAAACCGTGTGTATGCTGCAGCAGTTTGGCCACTTCTGCAATACAACACAGAAACTTGGCCATAAGGAAAACAGAATTAAAAAATAGATTATCGGTGTTCGAACACCGCTGTCTACATAGCACTGCACAAATCTGGTGGGGCAACCGGACGAGCAATGATGAGGTTGGGTGCCGAGATTTAGGTATCCGTGGGCATCCACTGGAACAAGTGCTCGACCTCCATAGATTACGATGGTTAGGGCGTGTTAAGCATATCATCAGCAGCATCGGATTCAAAACTTATTCTCCTATACCGGCCCGAAAATCACACGACCGATTGGATGATTCAGCCGCAACAAGGGTTATGGTACTTGCCCAGCTAACCCGGGCGAGAAACCACACCTTGTTTACAATCTCGGGTCTTAGGCAGGCCCAGAAAACTTCGACTGTACAGCATGAGTGCTATCACCACGCGGATGGACTGGAAGTAACAACAAGAGTATTACAAAAACTACAAACCAGTCGTCAGAGCATCTCGTGTTGGGGTGAGGGGTTCGAAGTGTCGCCAACCGCGGAAAACGATCCAATCAGATCGCAGTGAGGGTCAGAAGTAATTTACGTGTGAGAGGGACAAGACAATGTGAAACTACGGAGCAATCGAAATGTAGGTTTTCATTGTGCCCGATGTTTGTCGAGGCAGGAAGCGGATAGAAAAAGCCAAGGGCGGTTGAAATAAGACTTGACATGACGGTATGAAAACCCTAACTCAGGAGACTCGGTCACATAGATCACGTTAAGCTCTCTGGCTGGGGACCTCGGGATGATCGTGACCGATGATTAGAGACACTGAGTGATATGGCTGAATACCGTAAACAATGGCGTGCGTGCATCTTCTCAATTTCTTTGCAACTTTAGTCCATTAAAATTATCCATTTTATCTTTGTATCTGTTTTCAACTGTCCAGTCTTTCTGTTGCTGCCTAATCAAAAATCAGCCCAAGAAAGTGTTTGGTTAATGGTTTTACAAACAAGAACTGCGCTTACAAGAGAAAAACAAAAACTCTCACAAGCTTGAGGTCTACCATATTGTTGAAATACAACTACTAAAGATCGGCAAACTCTCTAGACCGAGGCTATTTTTCATGTGTATACAAATTTATGGACAACAACCGGAACGTTTTCTTTGATGAAGTAAAGTAAATTATATGGTTACGCACCGTTGATTATTATTATTATTGATATTAATAGACTGGTGTAAATTGAGCGTGTTATGTCAGTTTGAGGTTAGTTTTGACTCTGGTGTTTCTAACTGATTACTGTTTCGCTTCAAAGCATACTTCAGGGGACTATCCGGCTTGACGCCAGCCAAATGTAAAGTGTGCGTGGTTGAATCGATGAACTGAGGATTGTGCGCATGTGAAGGTGAAGTCCGCAGGATAGTCAGTTCAAATCAACAAATATCAATTATCCCACACCACTACTCACAAGTAACTGTGAGTCAAATGTGAATTATCAATCCAGGTTTGTTGGTAAATCAGCCCGTAATCTGCATGGAAGTCCGGACTTGGTGGGAGGCTTTCGATTGGAGATAACAGATCGCCATCTGTGTCCCCCTTAGTTGGTGTCGGGCCGCTCTGAACTGACTATCACTGAAGACGACACCTGAACAAACATGAATTGGTAATTTAGTTCAGTCATGGTATGACCTGGTTGGCACTGTGGTAACACACGTCTTCCATGCCCGATGGGTCTGGAGTTCAAATCCCGGACGAAGGGACGGTGAATATGCACTACTGATAAGCTCTAAGGAGAGGGCGAAACTCGAG